CATAAAGAAGACTTAATATACAAAGCGGAGAATAAAGATACAAAGTCTCGTCATGAAACTTTATTTCTCATATACATAAGAAAACTTCATAACGAAAATGTCAAGCGACGAACAACAACACCCTTAAAAATAAGTTTATCACACCTGATCAGGATTTTAAAAACAAAACATCAAACGACCCATAAAAGTGTCATAGTACAAAAACAAAACATGAGACACAACCAGGTCTTCTCCGTTAAACCATCCACGGCATTGCCACCCGTCCCGAACATTCTCTCAAGCTTCCATTTTTCATTCATTACCTATACATGAGAACACAAGAAAATAGAAGTCTTGTAAGCAAAATTTGCTTAGTAAGTCACCATTTCATCCACTAAAATAACGGAGTCTTAGCTAGCCATAAATTGATACAACAGCTAGAATACTCAATTCACATAACATATTCACATACAAACTCATATCATACATAACACAACTTTAGGTAACAAAACCTAAGGGATTTCCTTATTCATCATTCTTTCTTCTTATCTTATTCCTTAACTTTATGGGCCCGTAGCTCATGTCCTGGCCCCTCGCTGATGACCTCGGGTAGCTAGCCCTCAACCATCAGAAGCAACCCCGGGACTCCCCGCGGAAGGAGATCCCGCTACGCTCAGCTCAGGTAGTTACTTGGGGGCACGACCACCTTGTAACATTACCTATCCTTCATTTCATATCATTATCAACATAACTTCCTTTCATCGTTGGTTCTATATGAACCCAATTACAATCAAAATAAGCATGAATACTTTGTCTTTACTATTCCAATATTTTACCATTAACTCCACCTGTCAATGCATCCATATCATTTGGAATTCACATAACATCATGTTTAAGTATCCAAGCAAATAGTCCACATATCATCATATCATACAAGTTCAAGCATTCAAGCAAGCAAACATTTCCAACTCATAATGAGCTAGACTTTCATGCTTTATTTAGAACTATCATGTATAGGTGGTGATGACTTACCTGATTCACACGGAGTAATTACCCGGTGTGTGTGTATAGAGCGTCCACGAGCAACGGTTCTTCGATGAGCAACTATATTTGATTATACTTGGTCAACTTAAATTCATTCTTTTATAAAATCTTAAACCTTGGGAACAAGAGAATATTCAACAAAACCGAGCCCCCAAACATGATAAAATTCTGAAATTCCTACATTCCAAACGGTCAAATCCTCCGGTAGCTTGATAGCCAAAACTCGGTTGTACCTTACACCCAAGAATCAACAACAACTAACCCATAACCATGCTATCAAGGGTTTTATGTGTCTGTTTAAAATCAGTCCATACCTAGGAAGAAGTTTTCCCCAATTTCTTTCATCAATTTGGTGTCAATTTCGGGCTAAGTAATTATTCAAGAATAAATTGAAGTTTGTTAAAAAATCAAGCTAAAAAACAACTTCAAAATCATCTTACTATCAAGAAAAATCCAGTAAGTTTCTACGAATCCGCCTAAAATCAATTAACCCTAGTTTAACCCAAAAACAAGAACCATAGATCAAATTAGGAAAGAAATTCTTCATGTATAGTATAAATCTTACCAAGTGATGATCTTTGATGAAGAAAGATGTTTAATTTAGCCTTGAATCACTTTAGGAAGGGCTTAGGGTTAGTCTATAGAGAGAAGAGCGAACTGGGATCAATTTTGGGTCGAAAAGGGGGTTTTTGAGCTTAAAAATGATTTTTTGATCGACCTGCCAAAACTGACCGGACCGGCGCCGGTTTTCCTCTGACCGGCGCCGGTTATGCTGTATTTTTTACGCCTAAGACTTTCTGTTTTGGACCGGCGCCGGTCCGGGTCCAACCGGCGTCGGTTTGAGGCCAATCGGGTGCCAAAAACGTCATTTTTCGCCCTAAACCGATCCCGATTGTTACCGTTCACATCCTAAACCCCCGTTGAAATTTTAAACTACATTTCAACAACCAAATACTATCTAATATGATAACTAACTTAATACCATTTCACACGGACTAAAATGATCATTACAGTGTAGTTTCGTTGCTCATCGGATACTGTCGTCTGTCACGTTCAAACATGATACAAGCATGTAAGTTCAAATATATACATCACAAAGTATATAAGCACACGATATCCCTAAACTTACATGTATAATACACAAAATTATTAATTATGGCATGATCATATTGATTAATTAAACACATAAAGAGTAGATAAAAAGTACGGGCGTTACAGGGCATGGATTGGATTTAGACACGAGATGAATACGCCGCTCCTTAGTGCAATCAAATGGATCATAAAGACGCGAAAAGGAGCAATGATGAAAGTCAAGGCTGCCCGACTTGCATTTTGTGTTGCGGTCTAGTATGTGGTGTACAAGATACTCTTTAGCATCTACCCACATGACTTGATCAACTTTTGAGTGGAGTCAAGCACTTTTTGGATGCCACGACATAGACTATAGTTCGGATTAGTGTGCATGCACCCTGCAGCACCATTCATATTTTTTGACTTTATGACTTATTGGCTGCATATTTTTGCTCATAGGCCAAGTATGGACTTAGACTAGATTAAAAGCTTCTTCCAACCCTCTCCTTTTCTCATGAAATAGGAGGGGGTGGGGGGCTTTAGATTTTGGACACATTGTACATGTTAATTTTGCTTGGGTGTTAATATAATTTACATTTCATCCAAAAAAAATCAGACTTAGGTGCTGTTCTGTTCGTCTTATTCTTATTACTTATTGCTTATTCTTATTTTATTCAGATCAGATCAGATCAGATCAGAAAAATTCAGATCAGATCGGATCAGAAAAATTCAGATCAGATCAGATCAGATCAGAAAAATTCAGATCAGATCAGATCAGATCAGAAAGATTCAGATCAGATCAGAAAGATTCAGATCAGATCAGACCAGATCAGAAACATTCAGATCAGATCAGAAACATTCAGATCAGATCAGATCAGAAAAGTTCAAACATGATTTATCATTTTTATTATTATATTAAATATTAATTATTATTATTAATATTGTTATTACTATTATGATTATTATTATATAATTATTATTAATAATATTAATAATAATATGATAAAAAAGAAATTAATAATAGTTATAATATTTTAATATAATAATAGTAATATAAATGCAATTGTTAAGAAGACTATTATTATTATTATTACAATATTATAATAATAATAATAATATGATTAATATTATTATAATATTATATTATAATTATATGTAATTATAATTATAATTATAATTATAATTCTTATAATTATAAGTATAATTCTTATAATTATAAGTATAATCAATTGTAATTATTATAATTATATCTATAATTAATTATAAATATAATTGTAATTAATTATAATTATAATTATTATAATTGCAATTACAAATATAATTTAAATAAAATTATAATTATAATTGTAATTATAATTATAATTATAATCATAGAAATATTCGAATCAGATCAGATCAGAAAGATTCAGATCAGATCAGAAGGATTCAGATCAGATCAGAAACATTCAGATCAGATCAGACCAGATCAGAAACATTCAGATCAGATCAGAAAGATTCAGATCAGATCAGATCAGATCAGAAAGATTCAGATCAGATCAGATCAGATCAGACAGATTCAGATCAGATCAGATCAGATCAGAAAAATTCAGATCAGATCAGATCAGAACTTAAAAAATTCAGATCAGAAACATTCAGATCAGGCGAAGAGAACAGCTTCTTAGAGTCAATCACCTTCAAAAAAACAATATAACTCGTTGATCTTATAAGGGCATAAATGAGTCAACGACGGTTAAAGCAGGCCTCCTATCACCCAATCCTAATGCAAGAGTCTTACAATAATAAAAGTAACTAACAGAAAAATAAGCAGTCTGATCATGAAAAATAAATCGCAAGCAAACAATAAAATTAAAAAGATGCTTCCAAACCCTAGACTTTTCCTGCACTCCATGGCGGCGGTTCAGGATGGGGACGATCCAGTAGTACTGTAGCTTCTTCCTCATCTTGCCTCTTATTCATCATGTTCTCTACCAAGCCCCCTCTGTCGCCACCTAACACAAATGACCTCGAGTCCAGATCTGTTCCAGCTTCTAGCCCCACACTTCATCCATGATCTTTGGTTGCGGGAATGCACTTAAAAATGACTAGTTGACTTCTCCACCTATTCATAAAGATATTTTTTATTGCAATCTCAAAGAAGACAACAAATCTCATCCTTAAAGCATCTTCATGACTTCATACATGCTCCTCAATCTAGATCCTCCTAGATATGACTAAATATGTTTTTTACCACATATGACTATAGAAGATTTTAAAACATGACATCTGTATAAATGAAGAGTATTTGATGACCAAAATAACCTTAAAAACAAACTCACGTAGAGGGTATGCAACTTCCGAACTTAGTAAATTTGGAATGAACATAAATAATACACAGCAGTTAGGATAATTATATAGTACCATATAAAAAATCTGCAAGTCATATTTTGAGAAAAGTTCGAACTTTTAGTCACATGTGAGATAAATTTCTCTATTGGTTGATATTTAACTTTTCTCTAAATAATCTTACAAAATAATTTTATCTCTTCATTATGATCCACAAAAGTCTACCACATGCAAATAAATCATGAATGAGGGATGAGGATGACTTACAAGGATATGAAAAAAACTAACTGTCACTAAAATATACCTATATACGAAGTAATTTATTACACGTTCAAAGCGTTCAAAGTGAAAAGGTCATTACAGGCTGGGCTAGTGGGCTTACTTGGCCGTAAAAGTATAGCTTTGTATACGACATAATTTGTGGCTTTTTGTCTACAATAAGATAACTTCACATGGGCAAATTTGGAAGGAAATTGCCAACTCCCACAAGTATATTAATAAAAAGTAAAAGATAAAGAATTGAATTAATCAAAACTAATCAGACTCGTCAAAGTAATACTGCGCGGAAAATAGATGCTGAATTGGGAAAAATAAATAAAGAATAATGCATTTCGCTGTTATCTGATTATTTCAAGTAGAAATAAGAAATACAAAGCAGATTAATCATCAAAAACTTGAATGATCATCAAACTCAACAATCATGTTGGAGGTGAAGTTAACAAATTATCTCAAAACCAAGCATTAACATAGTTATAATAATAATGAAGGCCTTATTGTTGCTGGTGAGATTGTTGTTGCTGTTCTTGAGAGTTGTAAAGAAGAAGAAAAGTGGCAGGCTGACACTTTGCAACATGGCCAAATCTTGAGGTGTTGTACTTCCTATACACTCCTGTTAGTTTCCCTGTTGCTGCCCTTTGATGGAAGCTCACCATCATTCTTGAGCTTTCTCTGGTAAAGAAGCTTTGTAAGTAACAACATCTACATCCCTCCCCACTTTAATAAAACTGGTACAAAACTCAACATCTTTATTCAATAGATGCAGTGGTTTGTTTTAGTAAATGTTTTAATTTAAAAGAACTTAATCATCACATATTAAAAAAATTACTGAGTATAAAGTACAAGTTGGGAACTCTTTGCACAAAAACTAAGTCCGACTTACAGAAGTTGATGTTCAGAGTAGCCAGTATGCCATTCACAGGTCTGGTTCCACTCCTTATTATGGGCATGGAGTGTGCATTGTGCAGTGTAGACTGCAGCAGCCGCCAAAGACGATGGGGGGTATTTGGTCATTTCATACTCCACAAGGCAGAGCTCAATTAAGAACAAAGACAATAGCTCCAGCTGTTAAAACCCCAAATTCTCAACATATGTCAGTGTCTTTCTTAAAGCCAAAAAAGTAAAGAAGAGCTCAATCAAGCAAGCTAGCTAACCTTCTTCTTATCAGATTGTGTGGCCTTGAGGAATCTTCTGAGAAAGACATAAGGAGTTGGGACTGACATATTGAATTGCAGTGTGTTGAGCATCCAGCTCTCCTGCACAATTTTTTTTTATAATAATATAGGAGGGGCAAAAGTTTAATGTTTGCATATTTCTATAGTAAGCTTTATCTTTGTGTCATTTTTCAGTATCAAACTAACCATGTCAAGAACTTCTTTCTTTGTGTAAGCTTTGGCAGAAATGAACACAAAATCATCCACAACGGGAACAGAAACCTCTTCATATTTGCAAGCCAATAGCATAGCAACCAACCCAACCAGTTGAAGCTTCTTTCTCACCACATTTTGTTTCTCTAAAAATCTGTCTATGATGTTTATGGTCAGAAACAGTGTCTCTTCCCTTAGCTCAAACTTGTGGTGCACCTGTTTGCCATCACCATTTATAACACAAACAACACTTATAATTCAATCTTCCCAGTTTGGTTGGGTTACATTCACTGCATTCACCAAAATCAGAAATAATTGAAAGTTCTTGGGGACCAAATGCATAACATGTGTATAGGAAAGTTACCTCAACGAGCCAGTCAATTAGTATAGCCCTCATCCTTTCATTGATGTCAAGCTGTCTTGACATGTAATCAGGGGAAACGCAGCTACAGTTCTGCAAATATGATGGCAATGGTTCATGGTAACTATTCTGACAACAGTCAGTCAATAAAGTTACTGCGAAAGTAAGTTGGCAGTTAGTTAAAAAGCATTTTGATTGTGGGATTACAGGTTGGCATTGAAGATGAGACAAACTTTGAATGTTTATTTAATGTAACAAGTAATAGTAGTAGCAGTAGTATTGAAATAATCTTTTTTCAATTAGAAACTCACAATATGTTACTAATAGATATACATTTAACAAATTACGGGTAGTATAAAATATCATACAATTAATAATTCTAGTTAAACAATTTTTCCATATCATCTACATAAGTGAATTTCACACATAAATGTAGCTTAAAAATGTCTCTCTATCCTTGTGGGAGGGAGATACAGCTTTTTTAGTTCATGGTTCACACTCTCATATTCTGGGGGGTTTTTGGTTTTTGTTATACTAGTTTACACTTTTATTTGTCTGTCTTAGACTAGAAAGTAGTTATACTTTCCTAGCTTCTCTATAATAATACAGATGTAACAACAACAACAACAATAATAATACCGTAGTAATAAATTAACATACAATAAATATACACTTCCCTATTCTCCCAACCAAACCCTAAGCCACTGCATATATAGAGCCTCACATGAGCTACTGGAAGTGACCTGTCTTTAAAAGGTACTCCAAAACGCAAATTTGAAACGTTTGCATCTTTTCTGAAAAAAGTTTGTGGATTATCTATTAGTTCATTATTACTACCTCAACTTTTCTGTAATAGGCATAAAGATCTTCAATGTACTCAACAACTGCAAGAGGGTTTTTTGCATCTCCGCTGTCAATGTCCAAGGACACACTCTCTTCATATATATCCTCCATTTCTACCTCATCCTGCATAGGCATTAGAGTAATACATATAATCCAGATTCATCAAACTGCTCCGTACAATTAAGATTAAAAAAAGAAAAATAAATAAATACCATATGATGTTTTTCGTTTGAATCTATTTCTGCTTGCTCCAAAGTCATAGGGACTGGCTGGTCTTTATCACAATCTTTTTCGTGTTCATCTTCCTCCCGTAGCCCGGATTCTTCAACCTCAATTCTTTGTTTCTTGCTTTCCTGCTCGACATCAATAATGCACATTCATATAAATACTATAGAAAAAACACCAGCATATACTTTTTGGAAAATCATTTCAGTAGATGGCGGATTCCTTGGTAATGTACCTCATGATAATGTTGCTGAGAGTTTGCAATTTGGGCAGCAAATTTTCTAAATTTAAATAAATAGCGCTTTTAAGGAGTTATACTTCAAGAACTCCAGATATTAATAAATTGACAAGAAATTTATTAATCTCTTATCTGACCTTGTTATTGGTCTATTAGCTTGTAGAGAATGATTCTTGTCACTGTTCCCGTTTTTTCTGATCACAAGAATATAACACATACATAACTAAATAATTAGATAAACGAATGAATTCATAAATAAAGACAAGATATTAGCTTTTCCATGAACAACATTAAACATTGAAGAAGAAATGCATTACTCTGATGTTCCTCCTCTATTAGTAACAACACATGGGTATGGATTAGCTACTATGTTCTGATTAATGGCACCCAAAACTCTCCGGTTCTGCCGCCCTTGCACTCCAAACTTTCTTCCATCCATCTCTGCGCCACCACCACCCATCCATTAGTGAACAAAATAAGTGATCCATTAATAAATCAAACAGTACTTCAGACTGAATTCAAAATAAAAATTGAGTTGCTCGACACCCACTTGAAAACTTTCATTCCCCAGGGAATATAATATAATTCGGTAAAAAAGGGGAACCAGAAGATCTAAAAAGATCCAATTTTTGTTTTCTAATACCTTCAACAATTCTGGGTTTAATCCAGGTACGGTTGTTATTCTCCCCAGATATGACCATGTTTTCTTGATCCATCTTGATTATAGACTAAGAACCCAAATCCACAAAAGCCCCAAGAACAATCCAAAACCAGAAATCAAGAATATTCCTCTCCTTCTTCAGCTCTTCAATCATCTACAGTAGAACCAAGAATACGAAGAGAACAAGTGAGAGAAGGTTGGGGATTTTTATCGATATGATGATATTATTATTATGGTTTACGCTTATTATGAGCCTGGGTGGGATGTGGGTCTTTATTCAAATCCAACGGCTAGTAAAGGAAAATTTGCCCCGGTGGGGCCGACCGAGCTCCCAAACGGCTATGGGCCACAACGGTCATCATGTAAGGGGGACTGGGATGTGGCGATTGGCAAAGCCGTTTTGCGTGAGAGAGAGACAGAGGGAAGCTCGACAGGAGAGGAGAGAAGCGAAGACGAGAGAGACGTTGCATTCAAATTATTATGGTTCATAATTAGTGAGACATATATGAATCCAGTTTTATAGTAATTCATTAATTACTTTTCTTGAATTGATTTAATTAGTGTTTAATAATGGTGCGGTTAATTGAGTACTGCTATATTCTGCCATTAAAGCCATTTTCATTATTCCACATTCATTTCTGATCAATATTATTTGCGGTTTGTGAGAAAATCAAGAGATGATTGTTGACTAATAAGGAATTATGCTAATTGATGATAGATGAAAATCTATTCCAAAGGTAAGTTTACCTCAATATAACTCAAAGGCACCATTTTAATTTTTTATTGGCTACAAGGGTTGAATTATGATCTATATAACGTGATCACTATGGAGTTACTCATCACGCCAATGTGTTCTCAATTTTCATATGTAGTGCATTTCTCATTTCACATTTTTATTTATTATTGTATTAAACATCATATTATGAATGATGGAGTATATGGACTCCGACCCCCCGGTCTGCCGACTACTGGGCCTGGACAGCGGCCCACACACGTTTATCGGATTCTTATTATTGTACATTATTATTATTCAGATGTTCTAGATTAGCTTTTTACACTATCAGTCCATTTATGTAACCGGGTCTGTCAGGCCCATATTAGAGGTTCAGACTCGGATTTTCCCTATATATACTCCTTATAGGAGGCTTGTAAAGATAACCAATATTCATTCACAATAAACATATATCTCCTTCTACATATTCTTTGTTCAATCTCTCCCGTTTATACAGTATGGGTATCAATTATCCAACAATTTGTCTGCTCCATCCTCTGGAGGAGTTCACCGAGGCCAAGGCATGCCTGCAAAGGGAACCAATAAACAACGAGGGGTAAGTTGCAAGGTAAAATATGCAAGGACCAAAATAGTTAAAGGAAGAAAGGAAATGAGGAACTTACAGTGACAGAAGCTTGGAGGACCTTGGCGCTGAGGGCACCGTCCTTTTGCCGAGACAGCACTGACTTATCTGTCGGTGGAGTTGCACCCCATAGGAACTCCCTCGGGTCCAGAGTTCCGTGCATTATGGCAGTCCCCTTGGCGATGGAGAACTCCACACTTTCCCGGGGCCATGGAACCTCAGACGTCCCGCCCGGGAGCTCAGAGGGGGGATGTTCCTCAACGATGAAGACGGGGGCTTCCTTCTTGTCAGCGGCCCCATTCATCTTCTTCTTCTTCTCCGGAGGCTTAATGCCCTTCCCGGTGTTTTTTCTCTTCAGCTCCTCCGGCCTGGAGCCCCCGGCATCAGTGTCGGCATCAGCAGCAGCATCCCTCTTGGAGGTACCCTCCTTCACTTGGCCCTCGGCCTCTTTATCCTTCTTGAAGAAGGCATCTACATGCTGCTGGGTTGAAGGCCCCTCATCCTTCTTCTTCCTCTCCTTCGCTAGTTGCTTGGAGAGCTTGGTGAAAGCCTTCAGATCCATAATATTGCCTGCAAAACAAGTAAGAGTTAGGTCACAAGAGCAAACAAAAGGAAAAAATTTTCTAAGTACTAAAGAGGAGATCCCTCGGCAAACAACCTCCGGTGTTCTGGTAGCCCCGGTCAATCAAAGGATATTTCTCGTCGTCCTCCCCGGCGAGGCGAAATCGCCGAAAGCCTAACAAGTACAGTTCCTTCGGCAAGGTGACCTCTTTGATGGCGATCACTTTATTAGAGCCCTCGGGTTTCTCAATAAGCTTCTTGCCAGCCTTCGCCAGGGCCGCGCTGCCCACCTTCGGGTGCCTCCGGAAATGGTTGCGCAGAGCCCCGGGGAATGGATTATCAGCCATCCGGATATAACAGAATTTCTCCTTCCACTCCTTGTGGGAGGAGGGGGTCTCCGAGAATAGCTTCCAGGCCGGCACCTGCTGCAAATTGGCATACCCCCCAGTGTGGGAATGTCCCCCCGGCACAAATTAAAAGAGAGGAAGAACTGGTCCAACGTAGCCTCAACCTTCCGGCTTCGGCAGAGAGACAGGAACCCCGCTAAGTAATAGTGGCTGTTCGGCGTAAGCTGGCAGGGGGCTAGCTTCACAAACTTTAGGTATTCCAAGACAAAGGGATGGAGGGGGAACCTAAGGCCCAACTCCACCGAGAGCATGTGTACTGAGAAGCACCCCTCAGGGGGATGGGATAACATATCTTTGGGCCCCGGCTCCACAACCTGTGTCGAGGGCCCCACGAGGTCCTGGAGGGCTTGATATTCAGCACCCGAGGCTATAGTCTTCACCTCGAGGGCAGTGGTGTCCAAATACGAGTGCCCCTCGGGAATCCCAACTGGCTGCCCTCGATCGACGGCTGCGTGCTTCTTCTTCGGGGCAGCCCTCAGTTTCTTCTTCTTTTTACCCGGGGCAACTCTGAGAGGTTCCAGGTTCAGTGGCCGGGAGCTACTTGCTTCTCCGGCGCCGCGAGGAGGCAGAACAGCGACCGTCACCTGCCGCCTCTCTTTCTCCTCCTCTTCATCGGCTACTTGGAGAGCGAAGGCCATCTCCTCGTCTTCCACCACCTGCTCAAACTCCTCCGCCTCCAGCTCAGTGCGGAGTTTGCCTTGGACTTCTGCGGCTATTGCGGAGTCATTTCCTGCTGACGGCTGCGCGCTTGATGATTCCACATCTGATATGCTCTCAGACACCAGCGGGGCCTCCTCCAAAATATTTTGAGAGTCACTTGCCGAGGACATCTCTTCGTAGGATAGGGGAAGGAATGGGAGAGAATAATATCCTAAGACCTCAGAAGTCTCTAGACACTTAATCTAAAGGCGGGGAAGCAAAATATACTAAGGAGCTCAAGAACAGAAGAGGAACTGACCTTAAAAACTTGGTTTGATCGAAGGAAGAACTTTTTCTCTCTAGAAAATTTTTGCCAGAGCTTTGCTAACAATGAAACGCGCAAAGGCAAATGGCTTGGGGCTTGGGTTTTATAGACCTCCTCAACCACGGTTAGCCTCGAAACTGGGCCTCCGGTTAAAAGCCCATCATTACCAACCGTCGCCTCAACCAATGGATGGCACCCGCCCGCCTTTAGCCAACAGGTGCATGCCACATGGATCACACCTCCAACGGCTCTATTACAACGGCTATATTTCAGAAACACCGGAGTGTCCTCAGGTGATAGCCTCCGGCTATCACCCACACCAACTTTCGAGCAAGCAGCAGTATAAGCCTTCGGTTTATCAATGTTGCCACCCATCAGAGTATACTTGGATGATAGCCTTCGACTATCATCCATAGCAGCATCCGGTGGACATACGTCACCTAGTACCTTCGAGCAAGCAGCAGCATAAGCCTTCGGTTTATCAATGTTGCCACCCCTCAGTCACTGACACCCTTCGGGGAACTCATCAACACATTGTAACTCCTTCAGCCCGAACTTGCCTTCGGCCTAAAGGAGTGGGGGACTGGGGTACACCCCTCGGGAATCACACAGAACAAAATGTCCACATGCAAAAATTTACAAGTGACGCATGCAACCTTCGGGCAAGCATCAAAGGAGAACCCCTCGGGTACATACTTCACTATACCCTTCGGCAGAAGCGAAATATCAAAAATTTTCCACAAGTCACTTGTGGTGATGAAGCAGCCTTCATCACAACACATACAGCTATTATCTACACTTCCCTCAGAAAACCCTCGACATGTGGGGGACTGAGGGGAAGCCCTCGGCAAATACGAGTAAAGCTCTCCGGTAAAGCGTAAGCCTTCGGTAGAGCCAACGCATCAACGCAATTACTCCTTTTCCCTCAAGTACCTTTCGGCAAAAGGAGTGGGGGACTCCTGATCGAGTATATGGCCCAGGAACCCCCGGCCCATAGACTCCTACTTCTCCTGCACAGGCCCAATGAGCCCAAGACACGCCCAAAGCCAAAATACAGCAGCCCAAGTGCCAAGAAGCCCACAATACACACAGGGGTGCCTTCGGCCTCCTTGGCCGAAGGCTCCAAATCTCACAGGGCTGCCAGTTTCGAGCATACGAAGCTACTGGAAGAAAACGGCGTGAAATAGTAGCCCTCAGCTACCAGGAGCCTTCGACATCAGGGAAGCCTTCAGCTGTACACCGCCCTCGGCTGCACAGATCCCTCGGCCAACAGCTCAATCATCGAAGATTCCCTTTGGAGACAAGCAACCACCGCATTTAATGCGGCGTCACATCCACCCACCGCATTCAATGCGGTGCACATGCGAATGCCAGTGCCACACGATTGAGGTGACCCCTCGGCCGTAGATTATCGCCACATGTACTCTCATCGCATTTATTCTGCTATAAATAGCACCCCCTTTTCCCATTGTAAAGGACCAGAACATCTCGAGTTCATTAATACAATCGCCTCTCTCTCCTACTTGTTTGCTCTGACTTCTCTCTAGGTTATTCTCATAATAACCCCTCAGATAAGCTACCCCCGGGTACGCTGTCCATCAATGAAGATCGTCATTTAATTTAGGGAAAATAAATTTAAATAAGGCCAACTATTACCCATAAACTAATAATACGGAGTAATACATATTTGAAAATATGGAGTAACTTTTAATAATACCAACTATTTGAATATATAAAAACCAAGATTATGGTGTCACTTTCTCACTAAAAATACAGTCATTTAATATGCCAAAAACCGATCAAGCAATCAAATAAATGTTATTTTGAAATGGGGTCACTTATTTATTTTTTTGATACAAAGTTTTGATGAGAAAACTTCTCTTAAAAGTTAAGACAAAAATAAGTTGATGTACATTACTTAAAAAAAGATAACGTGGAAACAATTATTTAAATCATTAGAGTAGATCAGTACGGTGAATAAAATTGCACACAACTTAAGTTACAAGACATAAAAAATTTGAGATTATAGCGTGAATTCCTCCACTATTATGTTGGGTGGGATGTGGGTAGGGGTGGACAAAAATATCGGAAAATCGGTATACCGCACTTACCGTACCGAAAAATACCGGAAAATACCGAAATATTGATATACCGTCATTTTCGGTACGGTATGATACCGTACCGATATATTTTGGTACAGTAACGGTAAATGTTTTCAAATACTGCGGTATACCGGTATAATACCGTACCGACTCCCCACCCAACAATTACTATAAAATCTAAAATATTGTAAAAGTCCATTAATACAAGTTTGAAGCCCAAAATTAATACTTATGTTGTTTACAAATATTAAAATACAAAAATAATTGCCCAATTTCCTAAAACCACTATAACCTTCTAGGCTTCTACTACGTAACATTCAAATAAACAAACCCTAAATGACTAATGAGCAATGTACTAATGTCCAGACCAGTCCATCTTGTTCCATAAGCTATCCTTCGAGTCGCGATGGCTGAGCCTCTGAGTAGCTGACGAGTGAAAAGAGATACACTTATATAACAAGTGTATCGACATAGAGATTCCGCGAGTCGAGGCATAGAACTTTGTCCGAAAGTCTTATTTAAATATTTTATTTAAAATTATAAAATGGACTAAATACACAATATCATATTATGGATAAATCATTTTATATCCATGTTGTTTGAATAATTTTATTTATTTTTGTTAGAGATCACTATTCATTTAATTATATCTATATTGTTCAAGTTATTTTAATATGTTGAACTGCTTAAATATACTACGGAGTAATAATAATTATTGTTCAATATTGAATATGACATCAAATTATTAATTGTACTTTGTAACATTTTAATAATAGATTAAATATGCCGTGAGTGACATCGATTTATTATTTTTTGTTAGATCTATAATAATTAGTTAAATTGAGGGAAATGCATGGTAATTTACCGATACCATACCGTTATCAAACCGAAACTTCGGTATACCGAAATGCGGTATACCGAAACTTCGGTATACCGATGCGGTATACCGAAACTTCGGTAAGGTAACGGTATATAAACTTTGAATACCAAAAGCTTCGGTACGGCAAATGTATGAGAGAAAATATTCGGTATACCGTACCGAACCACCCCTAGATGTGGGGCAGGCGCTTATGGGTGAGTGATTTCACCTTTTGATTTAATAAATAAAGTGATTTTTATAATACCAAGCATGTTATCTCAGAGTATTTGCAATGTCCCAAACACCCACACCATTAATTAAATATAAAATAATGCGGAGTTTAAAGATTCTTGTGGGATTTTTTTTAGGAGTTTTCCCTACATATTACTAAATTGAAGTCAATGTACTCCAAATGCGGGTGTGTGGACAAGTAAAGAGAAGTGTTTGACTAACTATTTTCAAAAGATGTTGTCACGTACAACACCATGATCATGGGTTTGGCATGAAATGGAAATGGAAATGGAAAAAGTGCGCTGACACTTTTTGCGTTAATGCTACAGTTTAGAGCATCTCCAATGGTAAAATGTAGACGGTGCACACGTGGCATGAGAAATAGCCACATAAATATTATTAAATAAATTCTTTCTCTCCTTATTTGAATGATTTTATACAGTTTTGGTAAGTTTTTCTCTACAATGTCAAGGAGACCGTCTAGATGTTGACATTGTTGTTGACATTGCAGGGAAAAACTTACCAAAATTGTATAAAATCATTCAAATAAGGAGAGATATAATTTATTTGCTAATATTTATGTGGCTATCACTCATGCCACATGTGCACCGTGGACATTATAGCATTGGAGATGCTCTTAATTTGCAACTTAAAGCCCAAATGTCCCTCCATGTACTATGCGCTTGCAGTCACTCAAGCCTAATAAACAAAGGTCATTAGGTGTTCCGATAAATTAGCCAACAACTCTTTATTGCCCCCAGATTGAAACACCATTCTTTCACAAACAGGTCATGTTGAAGAAGCATTTAAAGTTGTTACGTCATTGCCATTTGAGCCGAATAATTCTGTTTGGGAGGCTCTGATCTACTTGGTGGTTGTGTGGTTCATGGCAAATTAGAACATGCCAATCACATCTCACAGATGCTTGTCCAGGTGGATCCATATAAGTTCGTATACCATACGACCGGTCCACTATGAGCATATTACACCCGCCACCAATACGACGTAGTTCTAGCAGTTGGCCTCATTATTTTTTATTTCTCTCTTTTTTTAAAATGGTAATAACTTTTGGAATAAGACTCAAATTGGACACTATGGTTTCATGAGAATCTCATATTTGACACTAAGGTTTCAAATGGATCAAATTAGACACAATGATTTCATATGTATCTCATATTGGACACTAAAGTTTCATAATTCATAGGTTTTGGACACTCACTTATATTGGATAAAGATCAAATTGGACACTCACTTATATTGAATTATGAAACTTTAGTGTCCAATATGAGATACATATGAAACCATAGTGTCTAATTTGGTCCATTTAAAACCTTAGTGTCAAATATGAGATTCTGATGAAACCATAGTGTCCAATTTGAGCCTTATCCCATAACTTTTTTATTTTTGATCCGATTTTTATAAAATTTATATCAACATTTTTTATTTTTCATGATCTTTCAAATGAGACCAATATTGCCTATGTAATTTTAACATATTAACATTTGCGTGTACAAATATGTAACTTTACGTGTTAAAATATGTAACTCATGTTCAGTCAGGCCAAATGCAACTCGTGTGTAAAAATATGTAACTCTACGTGTATAAATATGTAACTTTACGTGTAAATATATGTAACTCGCGTTCAGGCAGGTCAAATGCAACTCGTGTGTATATATATGTAACTTGCTTATAAAAAGATGTAACTCGCTCATAAAAAGATGTAACTCAATTATCAAATGTAACTGAGGCCACTGATCCACTCCCAAACAGATTCGATCTTCTATTCACAAACTTATCATCTCCCTGCAATTCATATGCAACTCATGTGTATATATATGTAACTTGCATGTAGAAATATGTAACTTTACGTGTAAAAATATGTAACTTCACGTATAAAAATATGTAACTCACATGTATAAATACATAATACAATAAATTTTTTATATACACAATTTTAAGATAAATTGTGATTTACACAATTATTTTTCTATATTAAATTTAGTTCGATTTTCTTTATAATCCAATACTCATTAGTATAATAGTTCGATAATTTCTTAAAATCTCATAAGCAATATTGGTCTCATTTGAAAGATCATGAAAAATAAAAAATGTTGATATAAATTTTATAAAAATCGGAGCAAAAATAAAAAAGTTATTATCATTTTTTAACAACAAAAGCAAAAAAAAAAAAAAAAAAAGGGAAACCAGGCACTCCGTCGTTTTGAATGAAGCGTGCGTCGTTTTGCAACCGGGCGCACCATCGTGCGCCGGTTGCACGGTATAAATTGTGGATCCATATAGCTCCGCTGAACATGTTATGATATCGAATGCATTTTCCACATAACATCACTGGAAGAATGTTCCAATTATGAGGTCATCTTTGAAGGAAAGTGGAGTGAGCAAGGAACCGAGGCGTAGTTGGATTTTCGTAGAAGGACGGGTGCACAAGTTCCTTTCCAAATCATTTGCATCAAAACTTTTAAGATGAGAGAATATGTAGTACACTTAAGGGATTAGCTACTAAAGGCGATGAAGTGACCCGGTATCTATAGGATCTTGTAGTCAATTTATGATTTATCATATATGTGTGTGTGTTTGTGTGTGTTTGTGTGTGTGTCCACACACACATACGGAAAAGATTCTGTCCAGCCGGAGGGATAGGACCCTCCAACCAGCCACCGTTTGGGGAGCCCCCGGTGGAATTTCTTGATGAATTTTTTTGAGCATGTTCTTCATCAAGTTTAGTTTATTCACAAAAAAAATTCAGCTACAAATTCAATTAGGAAGACAGTCAAATAAATTTGTGAACATAACTGCGTTTTATATGTAAATATTTTGGCACAATTATCTTCAAAAAGTTATTTAATTGCCTTCCCAATTTCACTTTTAGCTGAAATTTTGTATGGATAAACTAGACTTGATGAGGCACATGATCAACAAAATTTATAAAAAAAAAATCCACCGGGAACTGCCCCAAAAGGCTGTGCCCGGACGGAGGGTCCTGCCCCTCCTGCCGGACAGGATCGTTCCTCCCTCTATATATATGTGTGTGTGTGTAGATATGTGTGTGTGTGTGTATATATATATATACATCTGCGAAGTTCACAATGTAAGAATATATTCTTAATCAAAGAAAGAGAATAGAGAATATATTCTACAAGGTGGGTAAAAACTTGAAGGGTCTAATTAATTGTGAAGTTCACAATGGAATAATATGGTATAAACAAGGCACAACTTGTTAAGATTGTAAAATACCACTGTTTTGCCATTGAGTAAACATGTCATGTGGGTGCAAGGTTAATTTTAGTTTAATGGATGATACTATGGACCTAGCCACCTAGGGAAAGAAATGTTTAGGTAAAATATTTATAGATACTGAAATTTGAGAATTTTGACAATTCTTAATCAATGCAAACATGTATTTAGGGGTGATTTCGGTTCAAACGGTTCGGTTTCCACCTAAAACCAAATGTAGAATCAAAGTAAAAAGTTCGGTTCGATTTGGTTCGGTTTTATGTTCAAAAATTTGGAACCACGGTTTGTTCGGTTCGGTTTATTTTGGTTCGGTTTCGGTTTTTTCGGTTTTTACCAAAATATTTTTGTTGATTAGAAAAAAAGTAATTGGTAAACAAAAACAAAAAAGAACTATATCAAACTAGTATTAATAGTTATACAATATAAAAACATATATAATTAAAAAAAAAAAAGACAAATGCACTTCAAAGCAATGAATTAGAAAGTATATGTATACCTATTTAAACATTTTCTAAATTAATCAAATGCGTGAGTTTATTTGTGAATTATATACAACGTAATTGCAAGTTAAAATTTTATTAGTAAATAACTTAATCTAATTTCTTCTTAGACAAAGATATTTATATTCTAAAGTTTGACGTTTTTCGCTATATTGTTTAAAGTATAGTTTATACTAATACATATTTTTTCAATATAAAAAACTATGTGATAACAAACATATATACATAACATATAATATATCAACAAAATATCATTGTCATGCAACAACAAGCAAAATGTAAATTACATTTAAAGTATCAACATATTAATATTATAGCAATAACTTTAAGTGTATGTACAAATGTTTCACTTAATTAAGCCATAAATATTAAATGTCAATATCTTGCAAATCATAATAAATCTAGCATCAAACATTAATTTTCTAGAATTAAGATTTAAGAACTAAACAAATTATTATACTTAATAATTAATAAATAAAATAACTAGTTTTAAAAAGTTCAGTTTATTCGGTTCGATTCGATTTTGAGATGTGAAAACCAAAACCGAAATCAAACAACTACGGTTCGATTCGGTTATTTGAGTTCGGTTTCGATTTTCTTGTGGTTCGGTTGTTTTGGTTGCGATTAGGGTTTTTTCAATCCGGTTTTCAGTTTTCGGTTTCTCCGACCCATCCCTACATGTATGTGGTGTCTGACATGCTTACAAAGCCATACAACTATACAAGCGTATGACTATTGCTTTTCACTCAAAGACTCCTCCTAGTAAAAGCGTACTCTATATTCTAGAATTATACATGTATTGTTAACATATACGAAGTAAATTAAATTGGATTTATCTGGCAAGACTTGTGAAGAATTAAAAATTGAAAAATTATTTCCACCGATACATTTAAGATGGATTTTGAAGATTATTTGGAATTTTGCCCACAAGGTTGAACGCGGGCATACATCTGGTTTGGGGTTATAAGAAGTTATGTAGAGAGAGGGGAAGATTGACCATCAAGTTGTTGAGATGATATTTATTCCGATTCTTTCATATAAAATTCAAATATGACTACAAATTTCAGGGAATAGTGAAATTGAAAAATATGATGAAATAAAGCTACAGTCAGTCCATACATTTTGGACGCGATTTTCACTATGCGTCATTCGAAAACAATCTCCTTTAGTACAGATGTAAGACTGTGTACATCCAACCCCCTTAAACCATCATAGGTGAGAGCCTTTGCGGCACTGGGTTAATGATGATGAGTGAAATTGAAGAATAATTGGGACGGAAGGAGTAAAAAAGAAGCAACCAATGGACATTGGCATCCCCACAAGAGTACAAGACAAGGGTCTAGAGAAAAGTCCCACCACAAGATTGTACACCGAACAAGCCTTCCATTGTCATTTTGACAAGGGTCACACAACAACACCGTTAACGGTGCGCCAAAGCTTTCCTTCGAGATGTTGAAGTACAAATAAATATATAAAATAATGTAAAAATGAGTTTTGTTGGCAGCGGAGTTGTTTAAGATACTGTTGTGAGCATCTAGCAGTCAGTACAAACTAAAGTTAAACTCGCTTGAAAATGCTATGAAGGGTCATCTTCTTTTCAACCTTATCACATGGTCCTAAAATATTACCATTCAAATCCTGCTTCCTTCCCCGTACCTCGCCACCATCTTCATCTCCAGATCTTTTAAGATTTACCGTGTTTCTAATAACCTTCTGACTAACCTTATTTTTCCCAAAAATCTCATCCTCCAGTAAATCCTTACACAGCACATTCTTTCTCAGTAACATCTTATGGTCATCTCTGATCTGGAAATTATCATTCATCTTCTTTTCATCCTTTTCACCTGATCCTGAAACACTAAAATCAAAATTCTGCTTTCTTCTTTCACGTATCCCGCCGCCATCTCCAGATCTTTTATGACTTTTCATGTTTTTTAAAACCTTCTTACTAGGCTTATCTCCGCCTATTATTTTATCTCTTGGTATATCCTTACCCGGCATAACCTTTCCAAGCAACATCTTATGGTCATTTTCTCTGGTGATCTGGGAATTCTCCTTTTTATCACCTGATCCCAAAACACTACTATCGCAGTCCATCTTTCTTCTTTCCCATTCTTCACCACCATCTTCATCTCCAGATTTTTTATGGCTTATTATGTCTTTAGAAACCTTCTTACTAACATTACCATTAAAGTTCTGCATTCTTTTTCCCCGTACCTCACCAGTATCTTCATCTCCAGATATTTTATGGCCTATCATGTTATAATTACCCCTATCTTCGCCTATTATTTCATACCCCCTTATATCCTTAACCTGATTATTCTTTCTCAGTATCATTTTATGGTCGTTTTCGCTGATCTGGGAACTCTCCTTCCTCTTCTTGTCAACCTTTTCAGATCTGTTTTTTCTCAATTCAGCCAAAGCGTCCCCTAAACCTAAAGTGTCCAAAATTATAGTACCTAGGACAAACCTTGTCTCACAGACATGTCCTTTAACGAGTGTTTCATAGTCTATTAGTAGATTAGTTCTGTTCGTGTCCAGAGATGTAACATCATTCACCAAACTATCAAGAAATGCGACGACAGTCTTCACCATGTTCTTGGATATAAATACCTGGAGAACAAAATAAATGTGATCAATAAAAGAAAAAAATCATGTGGATGTAACAAACATAAGAATAACTAGATAACTTTAGGCCTAGTTTTTTATTTTAAAGAAGGAAGAGAAATGAGGAAAGCTGAGTGCAGGAAAACGGAGATTCTTAAAAAACTATGTTTGGATAAATCAATTGGGAAGGATTTAGATTTAGATTTAAACTAAATATAACCAATCTATACATGTATAAAATATAATACTGTCGAACAATCTTGCTTTAGGAAAAAGAAAGAAATTAAGAAGAACCCATATTGGGGAAATGATGCATGAAGGGCTTGAAGGCTTTGGGAGATTTTATAGCTCCTCCACTTTCCAAACTCTTGCCCCTAGCCTCCCCCCAGAAACAAACCAAGCAAAAACAACTCATTCACTTTCCTCCAATTTCCAAACTCTTGCCCCTAGCCCCTAGCCTCCACTCCAATCTAAAATCATGTAACCAAACAAGGACTTGTACTGTATAGTCTATGAAGCAAAGAAACTATTGGGAAAAAGAAAGTTTCCGTTTCAGAAACTCGGTAGGAACTCTCCACACACTTGCTTTTCCATTAACAGATGGTGTTTGTGTTTCACATTTCACGTTTCCCCATACTTCCCACATTTCCGTACAACATAGATTTTAGTTGACACTTCAGATTCAACCTTTATTCACGTCGCTAGAAAAAACATCAAGGTGAGGCAATAACCAATGTATGCATGTTGGCTCTAGAAAAACGCTATTATGTACCTACTCTCCATCGAAAAATGATTATTGTCTTATCAACTGAACACTTGCACTTGAAGTATTGGGAGTAAAAGCATTTATAAACTAGACATAAACAAGGGCATATATGTCATTTTATGGCTTTTATTAAATCGTGTGCAACTTTTTAAAACAAAAACGAGAGGTGTACCAACCAAACAAGAGGACGAAGAACCAGAGAGATTCAATGTCATTTTTTTAAGCTTCTCTGCATCAATCAACACATGTGCAGAAGCTTGAACTTGGACTGCCATATTCTTGACTCTTTCAGCAAGCACATCATCTTCTGACATGAAACCGTCGCCATCAGAGCCTGAAATTTCAGGTGCATATGAAATTGCTGCTTTAGCGTGTTTTCTTGCAAATTTAACCCCTTCTCTCCACTTTCCATGATACAACACAGAGGCAAAAGTCAGGACCACTAGTATGTCCTCAGGATTATGGGCTAACGACATGTGAAATGCCAAGAGTGCAACCCTGTCCAATACCATAAAAAAGAATAATTTAACCCTGTCCAATACCATAAAAAGGAATAACTTCACATCACCTAATATTGGATTTAATAGAGCAGACTAATTCATCATTGAACCCTTTAAGAACAAGTAGAGAGCATAAAAGAATACAAGATTTTGTCTTCTTGCTTGTAGTGTAGTATAATCGTCCGAATATACGTTTTCAGGCAGAAACAATTCTGTTTCTGGTCACACGACCACTAAGCCCTTCCCACTTTTGTTCCCTGAGAATTTCCACTTTTAGTTGCTGACTAGAGAGCATACTTTTGATCTTTCTGAACACTTAAGTATCTGATTTTCACACAACTCTCGGTTGATTTTTGCCCCAAAAGTGAGCAGCAGGATTTTTGCCCCAATTCATAATTGTCCAACAGAAGTGAAAGAGAATGGCTCAAAAGTAAAACGACTTAAGCACTTAATGTTGGATTTTAATAGGGGGAACCCAACATAGAACCACTATGGATATAAGAAGTGAAAAAACAAGGGAATGGGGAAACCAATTTTATACGTAGTAGCTTCTAGTGTAGTACTCCCTCCGTCCCCTTTATATTGTCCCGTTTTACTTTTTCGGGATGTCCCCTTTAAATTGTCCCATACCATATTTTGTAAAGTTTGTGTGGTTCTAAATCATTCTTACTTTATTCTTACTTTATTAATTAATATCAACCACATAAACCCACTTTTCTTAAAAATCGTGCCGCCCTCTTCCGTCCCAATATAAAAGGGACGGAGGTAGTATTAATTATTATAGTGAGACTGTGAGAGCACACATGTTCAGGCAGAAAAGTTTCTATTTCTGGTTACACAACTATTAGTTCATTCCAACTTTTGGTCTTTCACTATGAAGTATTTATGGAGCACAAATCCATGGAAACACTAACAGATCTGAATGTCAAACTCTTACTAGAACGGGGGTACCTAATATGGATAAAGGTTGGTTGGAAATCTGAATTACCCAAAATCACAACTCACGAGGCCATAAATTTCAAGCAGCAAACGGCGAATTCCGTACAGAGGTCAAACATGTAGCCTTCAAGGCTTCAACCTTTAGATCCTCTCATTAAAGCGATTTTAAAATTCCATCAAAAGATTCCACCGGGGACCACCCCAAACGGCGAATTCCGCGCGGAGGTTCCGGTCAGGAGCTCCTGACTCTCTCTCTCTCTCTCTCTCTCTCTCTCTCTATATATATATATATATATATATATATATATATATATATGTATGTATGTATGTATGTATGTACGTACGTATGTACGTATGTATAAAGTTGAACATATTTCTAATAAGCTAGTTGCATAGGATTTATATGCTCGGGTTGAAACCCTAACTGAGTAACCCTAGCATAGACGTGCGAGCACACAAGCACCCACGCTCAAACACACACTCGAATGGAGCAAATAAAGTCATTCACTTAGTTATTCAAATGTTTGTATAATTATTGTTTTTTATTAATTTTAAAAAATCAAATTAATGTAAATGGTAAAAACTAGAACAATTTAATTATAAATTCAAATGTTTGTCTATTGTTCGAGAGCAGATGTCTGATAGAAGCCTCGGTCTATCAGCACAATCTCAAATACAAGTAGCAACCACAGATCACAAGTAATCACAGTAAACGGAATCACAGAACTCAGAAACAGTAACTTTCATTGAAACAAGAAGAAAGAGAATACAGTTCCACAGAAGGAGATAGAACTCCAACTGCCCAATCCCAACCAAAGCGTCTAACTGCCTACCTTTCCCCAGCAGCTTATTCTACTATTTATACCCTTCCACAACCGTATGGTATTGATTAGAGAAAACAATTCCCTTACTAATAACTAATTAGTCCCCTTTGACTTTCTAGAACAGACAAACCCTTTAAATCTATTCTTATCATTTAGATTAGCCGGATCCTTATCAATGTCTCAAGCTCCACGAGACTTTTTGTGCCTTGATGTCCCTTCACAACTATGCTTACCCACAATTTTCTCAAGAAAGCAAGAGCTTATCAAATAAAAAACAAAATAAAAAGCAGCATAATACCAAACTCAAACCGTTTTCTTCAAGAAAATAACTCACCACAAGCTATCGTGAGCAGGTCTATTGCACGATACCAGTTGATCCAAACTGGAAAATAGTTTCTGAAAAAATGTGACAGTGACATTACACACTTGAAAAAACAGACCAGAATGGACAATACAGGGATTTTGAAATATATACAGGGATTTTTTCTAGAATGGATATTTTTACACCCTATTAAAAAAAAGAAAACAGCTTTTGTGAATTCAAGAGCAGTTCAAAAGATCCAATTTGAAGCTTTTGAATTTTTCGTAGTTCTTTAAACAAATTAATAAAAACGTGTTTGAAAACAGGTCAAACATGTAGCCTTCAAGGCTTCAACCTTTAGATCCTCTCATTAAAACAATTTTAAAACCTCCACAAGCAGCAAGGTAGTGGTTCAATACAAAATATTTCTGCTGAAATTTACCAAAGGAAAACAATTTAGATATGTAACTAGGTAAGTATGTATGACAGAATGACTTATCAAATCTATCGGCACAGAAAAGTTTAGAAAACAAGCTATGATTTCATAGGAAACACATGTACATCAGGGAAGAGAAGCATACCATCAGCATTAAGATAGTTTCACTGGATTGTTTGACGGCCTGTTGAGAAAGATATGCTGCCTGCATGTAAATCAACAGCACCTTTTTAAAATTTATATGTACTCTTGTTATCAAAAGGCAATGGTGGAATGGATTCAACAAACTCACGTGAAATGGTAGCAGTACTTCAAGCAAGTTATATCTCTGAAGCAAGCTAATGGAGGGAACAGCAGCCCCATATGAAAGCATATAACCAACTTCCATCATTAATCTGGACTGTGAAAGGAAATAATGGTATTTCAAATAAAAAAAGTGGAAAAGTGTAATTTTATACGAACACCTCAAACGTCGGTAATATTTCATTGATAATTAATTTGTTTGCTCTGTTCTTTTTTGTTATTTTCCCATGAAAAAATTATATGTTACGGAGTATGAGTTGTGGTGCCTCCATTTTCCCAATAAAATCTCTGAAGTGTACCTTGCTTAGACTCTTGATGGATTGAGACAGCTTCCTTATGGCAGTGTCAATCTCCACTGAGAATGAAAAGTTAAGACGAGCTGCAAGTCTCATGCCCCGCAATATTCTAGCTGATTGGAAAGTGTAGGAAGTTACTCACTGATATTAATCACAAATACACACACACACATGTGTTGAAGCAGAGTCTAATGTTTACGAAACGTTTTACCAACTAAATGATAGCAAAACTAACCACAATCCTCTTCGAAAGACGACAGAGCGGGTATCAATGTCTGTAACTGAAGGCATTTAATGCAAAAAGCGGGTATCATTCCAAAAGAAATAAGTAAATAATTAACTACATAGAAGAGACTAAAAGAACCCTTTTACCTTTAAGGACTTTAGATCCGCCATTGCGTTTGCATAGTCATAGATTATATTGCTAAAGGGATCGTAAAATAAGCTGTTCCAACCATGTTCAAAAACACATAACGTGAGTTAAAAAGCATTTGACAAATGCAGGAAATCTTAGATATTCCAAATGCACCATTACCAAATAAAAGATATGCATCGGGATGGCACGATGCAAGTTTGATAGCTTTATTCTTAAGTGATCGCGCATTTAAAAAATTGAGAATCGTATTTATAGGCATTTGCTTCATAAAGAATCTTTAGTTTCTTTACATTTACTACACTTCACGAGCAACAAAATGAGTAGTTCTGAGTTGTGTGGTTGGGAAAATGAAATTAAATATAAAATATTGGTGTTTTACATAAATATTACGAGTTTTTGTCACTTTTAGTCTTCCGACTATTATGTCACTGACACTTTTGATACTTCACTTTGATTTTTTCAACTTTTAGCACTTCAACTACGGTGTGAAAGACACTTTTAGTACCCGTCTTTGAAAATTTCCATATTTAGTCCTTTGACTTTCATAAAAGTGACACTTTTGGACCTTCAACTATTATAATAGTCACATTTTTTGTCCTCCACTTATTGTGTCAAAATCATAGTTGAAGGACTAAAAGTGTCAATGTGATAATACTCATGGGACTAAATGCGGGAAACTTGGAAGTTGAGGACTAAAAGTGTCTCTCGTACAATAGTCGATGACTAAAAATGGAAAAATTAAAAGTCGAGTACCAAAAACGTCACCGACACAATAGTCAGAGGACCAAAAGTGGCAAAAACTCTAAATATTACAGTAGAATTATTCAATTAATATATTAAAAGACAAAAATTGAGCAGTAAAAACATTCACAAATGTGACTAGCATTTATGTATATTGGAGACAGGAAAAAGGGGTTTTTTGATAGCCTTATCTTTATAGTGATAAGTATTCAAAACTCACATAGCAAAAAAAGGGAAAAATACAGAAAAGGTACTTGTGGTTTGGGCCGTTTTCAGATAGGGGCACGTGTTTCATTTTTTGACAAAGTGGGACATGTGTTTCAATTCCGTTATCACAGCAGGGGCATGACGTCTAACGCCGTTAGAAAATCTAACCCTGATTTTCAAAAGTCTCTGAAACATTAAAAGAAAAATATTGGGAGGTGCGCCTCATTAAGGAGACCAACAATCTATCATTCTCTTTGAATTTTTCGGCTCTATTTGGATAATTGTTTAAAAATGAATTTGTTAACATCACTTTTACGGCAGATTTTTTGGCGATATGGTGGCTGGAAACAAAAAAAGAAAGATAGTTTGTTGGTCTCCTTGACGAGGCGCACCTCCCAATATTTTTCTTTTAATGTTTCGGAGACTTGAAAATCGGGGTAAGATTCTCTAACAGCATTAGACGCCATGCCCTTGCTGTGATAACGGAATTGAAACACAGGTCCCACTTTGTCAAAAAATGAAACACGTGCCCCTATATGAAAACGGTCCAAATCACATGTACCTTTTCTGTACTTTCCCCAAAAAAAACACATCAAAAGTTAAATCTCAATAATTGTGGTAACTAATTCAGAAGCATCAATTGTAAAATTGGTTTTATATAAATCATATTGATTGGTAGCTGTTTAAGAGTCACCAAAAGTATGTAACAGTATGTATGTATTCATTCTAGATAATCACTAATAACGAATAGATAATTACTAATAATGAATAGTGACTAGTGACTACGATTAGTGACTAACATGAAAGTTTGGAATTTGTGACCTCAAAGTCATTGATGGAAATGGGGTAGTGGTGGACAGGTGGAGGTGCCAGCTTGAGCGGAGTCACTAACGGATTTGCGACATTAAAGTCACTGACAGCAGCGTCGGCTTGGGCGGAGCCACTAATTGATTTACAACCTTAAAGTCACTGACGCCGGTGGCGCTAGTGCCGGCTGGTGTGGTTGTTAGGCAGCGGTTTCGTCTTTAGTTATAATTAATAAAAAAATATTAAAATAATAAATATTACAGTATATAAATATTAAACTACGTATTAAATAGAGAGAGTAATTAATGTAATGAGTCACTTTTTTGGAAAAACTAAATATAGTCATATTTCTGGAATTGAAAACACTAATACTCCCTCCGTCCCAATTTGTATGATACTTTACGGTTTACGATGTTTGACCGACGATAAAGCAAATTGATCCCTGTCAACATTCAAATTAGTTTTAGAAAATAAAATTTACATATTCAGAAACTACATTAAAACCGCTACAAAGCCTGCAAAAAATATTTCAAATTTCATAAACTTTTGATATATAAAGTAAAAGATCAAGAGTGATTTATGTTGACCAAGTGAATAGTAAATGTATCTTACAATTTGGGACTGAGGGAGTAGTAATATAGGTGCCATTTTTTTCTAAAATAATACGTAGTAGATGACAAGCTATGCCACTTTTTTTCATCTAAAATCACGTGGATATCAAAGATTAAGGATTAAACGCCCTAACAAGTAAGTATCCATCTAAGTATGTCATAGTCTGAAGATCTGTTCGGGAAATTTTTAAACTTTCACTACGGTACTTTCAAGGTATGTTACATCAATTTCCAAACATACGGATTTGTTCTTCAAATGTATCATCCTTTTTATACGAGATTATTCTTGGTTAGTTGGTTCTTTATTCTTCCACTGGCTGGTAGTGTCCGTTTGCCAACTGTCAGCCTCAAAATTCTCAATATTTTGCCTACACAAACGAAAAAGTGGAAAAGGTAATACCTGTTTATTGTGAAGTCTCTATGCATGGAATTCCTCCACCGATAAACATCCTTCTCATCACATCGCTTTGGCATTTTAGGAACAAAAGAATTCTTACTTTTTTCAACTTGCTGCGACACAGTATCAAAACTGGATACCTGCATGGCATAATGTATGTACTAAAGAATTAGGAAACTGCAAACATTATGTAAAAGACTGTAACTAGTAAGTATAAATCCCAAAACCTCCACAACTGTCCCTCTTATGTGCACCCTACATATAGGAAAGCGTCGGCCCACAATAACAGCACGATGAAATTGCTTCTTTATCTGCAATAGAATATTACATTCTTAGCATAGCAAGCACTGACCATGCCAGGTACTCAAACATGACCACCTAAGAATTATTATTAATGATCGATAAGTATGGATTGCAGTTTATTGCAACCATCAAATAGAACCTGACAAAGCCCAGCTGTTGTAATCACATCGAAGTCTTTTGGTATTCTGTTGAGTATTAAATCCCTAACACATCCACCAACTAAGTAAGCTTCAAAGCCTGAAAAGCTCAAATTTTACACAAATGATTAACATTTAACAGCACACAAAGGTATACCTAGAAGAATAATACTAGGTATATAGCAAAGCAAAAACTGTGGAGAAAAAATATGTGTATTAGTTCACAGTAGATCGATTCTAGAGATTATGGATAAAATCTAAAGAACAATAATCGGGGCATTATATTTCACATGCCAGCTGTGATAATTAGGGTCACTTAGTGTGCTACAATGACTTTATAATTAATCAGCCATTTCAAGTCCCATGTGTATCCATCATCATTTATTATTATAAATATGGAGTACATAATAAATATGAAGTTTTTGATGGAAGCCTACTAAGTACTAAGTTACTAACAGAATAATGTATTGTTACAAACTAACAACCCCGATGGACTCAACATGGAAGTATGTAACACGCTAACACCATCTTATCATGAAAAATGGAAGCTTGAAGTTCCATACTCCTTGTGAATTTTGGGCCTATGTAAAAATAATGACATCAAATATGAGCTAAAACAATGCACATTGAATGAAAGGTGTAACCTTTCTGTTTGAGAAGCTTTAAAACCATCAAAGGAGATGATGGTATTATTGATCCAGTTATCCCAAAGGTCCTTGAGTCCAGCTTCCTCCATTTCGTTAATTCAACTTGGCCTACATAACAAGCATAGATTCAACCTTAGAATGAAAATAACAAAGTGGAAATGAGGAAGGCTACTAGAAGGTTCGTTAAGCCAAAAAATGGATGATCAGGCCAAGTTAGTAAATACCCTGATTTATCTACTGTGGCTGAATATCAAGAAAGCAATTAACTTTTCTACAAAATGACTGATATGAAAATCCTTCAACTGATCCCAGCATATCTAAGGTGCCAATGATGAAGAGGAAGATTAAAATGATGCAAAAAAGACAATGGTGCCTTGTCTTTTAGATAGTACCGAGTATTACTTAATTCCCTTCAGAATGGTATGGAAGCGAATTTTTATGGAATTGCATGCTCAATTCCGACTAAATTATGTCCATTGAACTTTTTAAGCAAAAATAAACACCACTCACAATCCCATAAAAATGGACTACTGAGTTTAGAATAGAAAATCACTTAAGTCGCCACCAAAACACAGCTATAGACTTGCCAGGCTCTGGTTTAAAGTGAGCAGCCAGCTTTGTGGTGGACGCAAACTGAGGATCGCCTCCAGCCAATGTGTGATTGAACTTCTGCAGAAATGATATATTATATTCCACAGTTACATATACAATCTAGTATATAGCTGTTACAAAAAAAAAGCTTGACAGAGCCTAAATGCTGTGTTTGACTATTGATTAAACAAGAATTTTGAACCTGAGTAGCCGTAATAAGGGCTTTGAGCCGAGGATGAAACAAGTCTCTTCTGTTGCGCTGACAAAACGCCGCCATGGTTAGTGAAGCTACGAGGGCACTGTCAGTCTCAGGTAAGAGGATAGTCCGCCATTAGAGAGAAGCATTAAGCACACATCAAGAGACCCGCCCGCTAGATGGTAGAATGGAAGAGTGTAGTTGATATTATTTGCAACACCCACCCAATTGGACGAGAACGGTTCAGTTAGACCGACCTGACCCAATTCGAATGGCTTGAACACTTGTTAACCAGTTTGGGAAACAAAACCATTCAATTGTTAAGATTTCAAATTTGTGGTTTTTTATGCTTTAATGTTGTCATGTCACTATTACCGGACACATAAAAGATTTAAAATACCTAGTAATCTCTAAATCTATCAATTTTTATGCTTTAATGTTGTCATGTCACTATCACGGATCACATAAAAGATTTCAAATACCTAGTAATCTCTAAATCTATCAAGTTTTGTTCAATCATGATCTTTATTTATCAAGATTTTTTCGGGGACATGCTTTAAAGTCAAAATCTCTAACTTAAATGCTCACACACACTATTATGTACTACTCTCTCCGTCAGCCTTATATTGTCTCGTTTTACTTTTTCGAGAAGTCCCGCTAAAATTGTCGCATACCATATTTGGTAAAGTTTTTGTGGCTCAAAATCATTCCTACTTTATTCTTACATTATCAATTAATATCAACCACACAAAGTTACTTTTCTTAAAAATCGTGTCATCTTCTTCCGTCTCAATATAAAAAGGACAGAGGTAGTACTATTATATACCACGTACGGAGTAATATATATGTATACATAGAGAAATGATCATGTACATGGATGTACAGGATGCTCCGTACGGACAAAGCCATCAAAGGTCCTTCCCGGTGGAATTTTTTGATGAAATGTTTTTAGCATGTTCTTCATCAAGTCTGGTTTATCCATACCAAATTTCAGCTCAAAATTCGATTTGAAAGGCAGTCAAATAAATTCTTGAAACATATGGTGCATTCTGCGCATATATAATGTGCAGCATATTTCAAGAATTTATTTGACTGTCTTCCCGATCAAATTTTGAGCTGAAATTTGATATGGATAAACTAGAGTTGATGAAGAACATGCTCAAAAAATTTATCAAAAAATTCCATCATGAAGGGCCTCTGATGGCTTTGTCTGTAAGGAGCTTCTTGTACATTGATATGCACTATTTCCTAGTGCATAAGTTTGTTATTTTAGTATTGTTTGATTGTTGTTTTTAATTGTTTAGTTTAGTTTGTGATGTACTCTATAGATTTATGTTGTAGGTTTTAATTTGTATTTTTAGTGTGTATTTTGTTGTAAGTACCATAAGGGATGCAAGGAAGTATTATAGGCACCAAAGGAAGGCAAGATGAATGGTGGAAATAAATTTATGGTAGCAAACCCGGTCGGGTTGAAATATAACCCGGTCGGGTTGGAAGTGACATATGAAGCCAAAAGGAAGCTACGCACCAAAATCCGGTCGGGTTGGTATAAAACCTGGTCGGGTTGAGTTGACAAGAACAAAAGAACGTGTCCAAGATCAAGAGAACGTGGGAAATATCCGATTTGATACGTAACCCGGTCGGGTTTTGACCCAACCCGGTCGGGTTGAATGTGATTTCAGCACCTTCCAAGCAATTAAGGATACCCGATCGGGTATTCTACATACCCGGTCAGGTATCAGACCCAGCCACCTCAAAATACCTATAAATACACCCCCTTTTCCTCCCATTTATTCAACCAATTCTTCCATACTCTTAAGCTCAGTTTAGAATAGTATTTCTTTTATATTTTTATAGCATGTTTAGTCTCCAAATGAGGAGCTAAACTTCCATTTCTTGGTGTTGCTCTTGAAGCTTGTTGATTATTAAAGTTGTGAGTTATTTTCTTAACTTCTTCCCTTGAATATTAATTATTCTCTTAATCTATCTATATATTAATGTTCTGGAGTGTTGCTAAGATGATAATTAGTTAACATCTCGACATTAGTTATAGTAGTATTTATTTTCTTCCTCTATATATTAATGTTGGGGAGTGTTGCTAAGATGACAATTAGATAACATCTTGACATTAGTTATAGTAGGATTATTCATATTTAATCTTCTTCCTTGAATATTAATTCTTCCCTTAATCTATCTCTATGTTAATGTTGGGGAGTGTTGCTAAGATGACAATTAGTTAACATCTCAACATTAATTACTACTAAAAACGTTCAACGAACTGATGGTTAATCGTTGATGGTTTCACAAGTAAGTAACTTCGGTTTATTAATGCACGGCCGTGGTTAATAAACTTAAGAGGGATTAATTTTGTTGGTTAAACCGAAACCGTTGTGTTGAGGTTATCAATCTCAATTGATTTCATCAAGGAGTTAAGAGATTAAATGCTACTATCAAGTCGGTATATGGCGGTGTTCTATATACTTGACTAATAGTAAGGGTTATTAATGAACGGTCGTTGTTAATAACTACCCTCGATGAATTGGATATACTCCTCGATTGAGTATTCGAGAGGGGATAAGTTATAGATATAACAATAATCGACTAAAATATATCAACAATTGGAAAGTAGCAATGCCAAGTCCTTTTTATCTTTGAATTAAATCACATATAAGTCGTTCATCTTGGTGTTTAAATTAATTAAATTCCAACAATCTCAAAAACCCCCTTTTATTTACTAGTTTTATAAAAAGAGAATTATTTCTTTCCATGTGGATACGAACTCTACTACGCTATACTACGTATAGTTGTTAGTATCGAATTATTTTGAGTGCACACACGACAAAGTGCACGTCATACATCCAAATGTACAAGAACAGCCCTCTGTATATATATATATATATATACATATATGCAGTGGCGGATCCGGGAAAAAGTCTTATTGGGGGCAGAATAATCAAAAGATACATCAAAATAAAAAAAATTAATAAAGTAAAGTTGTATAAGAAATTGCTCAATATAGGAGTAAAAACGTTTGTATATTTCAAAATATAATATTGTCATATTTTTATTCCTTAAGTAAGAGTAATTACTGTCATATTTTGATAGTACCAGACTTTGAACATGTCAATAATTTCCGACCTTGGCAGTAATTACTCTCATTAAAAAAATAAAAACATGATAGTTCTGTTTTGGAATTCTAAAAAGTTTTTACTCTCATTTTGGGAATTTTTCCTCCTATTTAGAAAGCATAATATTTCTAATAAATGTAAGAAATTAGAGTCTAATAGATGTATAGCTATTTTAGTTAAATCATCATTTAAATTAAATCTAATTGATTTACATAAAAAAAACCTTACAATAAATTAATAACACTATGATAAGTTTAATAATATTATCTATTGGTATTTTTCCTTAAATATTACTCCGTATAAATAAAAAAGTAATAAAGGACAAAAATATTACTTAGTAACTATTAGTGACTCAAAAGATCCTAAGTTAAAAATCAAAAGGCGGTCGCTACCCTGGACTAGGGTTTTAGTTTTCTCCGGCGACAACCACTTGGTTGTCTGGAACGGCGGTGGGACAGAGGATCGACGGCAGCAGCCTAGCCGAGGACTGGGATTTCTCTTCATCTGCGGTCGAATTTGGAACAAGGTTCAAGGGGGAGTTGGGTTTTTGCCGCAAGACTGAGCGTTTTCTGGCTTGGACGTTGCTATAGCAGAGGACAACTCCTCTAAGTCGGACTCTCGGTAGAGGTTAGCCGTGGGTCTTGCACGCTGGACGGTGATGAGACAGGGACAGAGCGAACGAGTTCTTTTCCAACGAGCTCTTTCAACGGCGGCGTCGAGGGTGTGGACGGAATTGAGATGATGCGAAACTCCAGCGCCGCAGGTATGATCGATCGCAGTAAGATATCGGCTCAAGTTTGTGATAACACGATGCTCAGGGGAGATGAGGGCTATCTGATTCTGGACGAGAAGGCTGTGGGCGAGGAAGAGGTCCCCGGGCAGGAGCTTACGAGCGAAGGAAGACGAAGAGGTGTTAATCCGTCCTCCTCCCGAGACGCCGCCATGGAGGAAGTGTGCGAATAGGGTTTGGACGACTTTTTCTATTTCTGTTTTACTTTGTTTGCGTTTTTACTTCGAATTACATGTTGTTTTGTGCGTCATGTACGCTTACTTTTGCCAGACTCTTACATTAGATGGGGGTGATGGGAGTTTTGCTTTGGCCACGTTAGGCTCATTTAGACCCATTATAGGATTAGCAAATCACATTGCTCTGTCTAGGGTGATTGGTTCTCAGCCTGGTCCGAGGGTTGGTGGCTGGAAGCGTTCCTTTTATCTCTTTTGTTCCTTGCTGAATGTTTCTTCATCAATATAAGCCGCCTTTCTCCAAGGAAAAAAACATTAGTGCCTATATTCATGTTCAAACTTCAAAAGTTTACATCATATTAACTTACACGTAATTACTACGATGTAAATTTGAATACAGTTACAGTCATTAATAGTTATTAAGTAATATTGTTTTCCACTACATTTCAAAAAGTAAAATTAATGAATTTTTCATAGCTATTCTATCTACAATCTTATAATAGCCAATCAAGATTAGGGTAGTTTAGGTAGGAAAAAAAATGTTGGTGTAATCATGTTGCTCAATAGGGTTGCACATTTAGATGTAACACTTGTACTCTTTTTTAATAGCCTTATATTTTCGTTTAACTCCGTCTTCTATCATTTCTGTCTGTTTAGGCTAACCGCTTATCTTCCGTTTCCTCCCTTGATACTGAGCTCAGCTCATGCCCTTTCATTTCTTTCGTGATTAATGGTTGCAATTATCGAATGGGATGATAATTGCTACAAAAAATCAGCGACTCTATGAAAAATCAAATCCCTCATAGGGATGAGTTATTGTTACAGAATCGAAGCAATCCGGCCAAATCCGGCGACCATGCCTGCGATGCTAGAAAAATCAACGCCTCTGAAAAGTCAAATACCTGATCGAGATGAGGTCTCGCTGGAGAAATTTTGAACCTTAAAACTTCTAGTGTGAGGCCAGAACAACCTGCAGAACTTTTCTTAAGAGGACATGGCGTCTCTCTTTCAGATGTTAGTCGGCGATACAGGCAGAAGGTAGGCGACAAGCATAAGGATTATAAATTTCGCCGCTACTGCTGTGTTCCAATAGCAACCAGCCTCGAATATATACCAGTAAGAAAAGCTTTTGAATTTGATTCCAAGCCTTTTATTCAAATCTCTGA